TCTACTCCAGATTAACTTCTGTCTGAAATATCTTGAATGCCACATCTGACCTGAAAGGCCTATTGCACATGGGCCCAGCTGGACATGATACAAGATACATATATGAGAACAGGAAACTCAATGGAATTTAAAGAATCAGTAGCTTTATGTGGAAAACTGTATTAGATTCAGATAAAGGAGGACAAATTGGTAGAAGAACCATCGGTCTTCTGTAGGCTTAGTTATGCCAACAGGATTTCACCCAATATATTTCCAACTCTATTTTGTGATGAAGTTAAATATTTTAGGGTAGCAACAATTTCCTATATTACTGATCAATATCACTAACAACATTGGAAGATGGTTAAAATGAAATCATTATGTTTCAGTAAGAGTTTGTTGAATTATTAGATAAACCAAGAAATGTAGTTCAAAATTCTTTCCTTTTTTAAATCAATTTCTTCCCAGCATTACAAGAAAGGCTTAAGACACATGTCTGTTAGTTAAAAACAGTATAACTTAAACAGTATATAGTAGTAACACTTTCCTCTCCTTACAAAACACTGAACAAATACAGTATTAAATTCCCTTTCAAAGGCCTTATGTGATTTTTCATAACGTATAGAAGGCATGTGAGAAACACAGGCACTACATATATCCTGTGTAATCCTCCAAAATAAAGTTTAATTACTAAGTCATTGTGCTACCTCTCTTTGCAAGTGGTGAACTGAGAGTGCTCTAATTTCTGATGATTGTTTTGACAATAATAAATACAATATATAGAGTAGAACCATAAAGTTCTATAAAGTGGGAACAAGCTATGGCAATGCATTTATGCACTACAGTGGACCCTTGACTTACAGACGGTTTGACTTACAGACGTTTTGAGTTACAGACTTCTCTGGCCGCAAAATTTAGGTTTGACTTGCAGACTGAGATTTGACTTACAGACCAGAAAAAAACCAAAATGAAACAAAAACGGCCTGTTACGGGATTAATCGGTTTTCAATGCACTGTAGGTCAATGGAGACTTGACCTACAGACTTTTTGACTTGAGAACCGCCTTCCAATATGGATTAAGTTCTCAAGTCAAGACCCCACTGTAATCTGACTCTAACTGGGGACAAAAGGCTAACACAAAGGTGTCAGTGAGCAGCAGTGGGTAGCTATTCCTTGTACATGTATTTCAATGCATACTGTAAGAACAAGGACTAGGCCATGTCGTCCCCAAGGTTTCAGAAATGCAAGAGTGGGTGATGCCTTTGATTGGACCACCAGCAAACTTTCATGGATGAAATCCACTTCCTAAGGCTACGCACACCTCCTTCATGGACAGTGCAGAAAAGCTGTAAATGAAAATCCAGAAATTGATTATACAGGTCTGTGAGAGATGATCCAAGTCTTCTTGAGGCTAGGCTTCTAGTGTATCTGCATCAAGGTTTGGAATTTTTACACCCCTGCTCTTGAGACCATAAGGCTGCCAATTACCCTGTTATTATACAGAGAGAGAGAGAGAGAGAGAGAAAGATTACTTGAAACATAAAGTTCCTTTTTAGCATGTATTGCAGTAGGCAGCAATACATTAAAAATGGCTGTGGATCAGCTAAGTCTTCTGAGAAAAAAAAAGTATAGGGTCAGCACTTCCGCAAGAAAAATGAAGCAGCTGCCTCAGTCAGTTTCCACGGGGCAAAGAGCTACATGTGTCACCACCACTTCTGAAATAAGACTCAAGGACCCATCTGTACTTACCGTAATTGTCTACCATCTTATCTACCACAAGCAGCAAAAAAAAAAAAAAAAAAAGGTCTGGGGCTAGCCCTGAATGATTATGACTACAGAGCCTCACCTGGGACACACAATGGTTTTTGTGATGTTTACCCCTAAATTGCATCTGTACAACTTCCCATACACTTAATTCCACCTTTAACAGATTTTCAAACATTACAGTGTCAAGAGTACATACTCACACTTCCAGCCTATGAATAATTACTCAAAAAATAAAAATAAAGGAAGAAAGACACGGTTGCATTTAAATTTAACACTGCTTCCTTTGGAACACACACACACCAAAAAACAAACAAAAACATACTGAGTGGGACACTGTGTACATATGCACATAACTGGGACTGGTAATAACCATGTCTCCATAGTGTGTAAGCAACGATCAAACACATTTCTGCATTTGCTGGAGCAAAGAATGCACATGAAAAAATAGCACATGCCCTAATTATATCCCAGCTGGATTACTGTAAAGCGCTCTACGTGGGGCTGCCTCTTAAAAATGTCAGGAAACCTTGGGGAGTCCAAAATACAGCAGCCAAACTGCTGACAGGGACTCGTTACAGGGATCACAGGGAACCCACTCTTACAGCAGCTACACTGGCTGATGATCCATTTCCAGGTGCAATTCAAATTGCTGGTTTTAGCCTATAAACCGCCTGGGTCCAAGCTATATCAAAGACAACATCTCCCATTATAAGCCAGCACAGGTATTAAGATTCGCCCCCCCAGAAGCCTTTCTCATGGTCCCACCATCTTTACAGGTGCATTTGGTGGGGACACAGGAGAGGACCTTCTCTGTTGCTGCTCCCATATTCTGGAACTCCCTCCCACAGGAGAACAGACTGGCCCCATCTTTTCTGCCCTTTCACAAGCAGGCAAAAAGCTTTTTCTTCAGGCAGGTTTTCCCTCAGTGATTGGGTGCCTAGGTCGGATTTTTAGTGCTTTGAATGTGTTTTTAGTATTGATTTTGTTAACCATTTCTCAGAGTGGTATTTCTTTGATCTTTTTTTAATTTTGTATACTTATTGTATTGAGCTTTAAACATTGTTTTTAATGACGTAAACCACCTCTGTTTACTCATTTTGTTTAGCTTTAAATACTGTCTTTTAATGATGTAAGCCACTTTTGTATGTTATTGTTTTTCGCTTTAAATATTATCTTTTAATGATCTAAGCTGCCTTGAGTACTTTTTAAGGAGAAATGTGGGGTAAAAATATTTAAAACAAACAAATAAATACATAGTGTAAAATATAGTAGCTTAATCACTTGGAAATAAATACAGTTGAGTAACATAGGCTTTACTCTGATTTAAATATTACCAGGATTTATCTGTGAAATAGTGTCAAATAACTGAGACACTATTTATTGAGGCCAATAATTTTTAAAAGATCAGCTTGAGGAAAGCCAATTCTGTTGTTCCCCGGACTAGATATCAGCTTATGTTTTAAATGTCAAGGGACTTTTAAGAATCAATTCCCATCCTCTGTTAGGGAGAGATTTATAGTGTTCTTTTTCAGAAAAATATCTAATATTTGTCTATGGACTCAGATCTCCTATACTTGAGACTTGTTCCTACCACATTACATGTTTAAATGAACACAAAAACATTCCTCATCACTTTAAAAATGGTATCTAATAACAATTCCTTTATTTTGTCAGCCTAGAAACTGAATAGAATGTATGTGACTGACCCAGTCTCGGGAAGAGGATTATAGTTTCCACTGAGGACAAAGGTCATTAAGAAGCAAAAGCTGCATGGAAAAGCCCTAATTTAACTAGAGATTCCACCACTAACAACAGGCATTTTAATGTTCCAGCTTAAAGACATAAAACATGTAGTAAATCTGGCATATAAAAAGAATTAGCCAATATAGAAAACTGTTGGCCAATAAAGAGGAAAAATAAGTGAGATAATAAAGTAAGAGGAAGGGTATATGGAGGAATAGATTTTAACATATATTATCAAGTTTTGTCTACATTGTCGAGTCTGTTGCACTGCAAACCCCTAGACTGATAATACAATGGCTTTCACAGAAAGATATTTCTTATGTGCAAGCAGATGATTAGGGGAATAAAACCACAGAACGCATTTTTAATGCCATTTCATCCTCTAAGCCTAAAACAGCTTTTAAATGAACATGTCTATTGCATTCCTTGCATTTCATACACAAAGTCAACAAATGAACTTTTGTTCTGCAAGCAACAGGTATCCGATCAGCCCTTCACATTCAAGGAGATAACAGAATGCCAGTGAAAAATGCAAATATTTCTAAAGGAGATTTGGAGTAGCATTGAAACTTGGACTACTGCATACAAAATTGATCGAAAAAGTCATTATTTCAATTTCAAATGCAAGTAAAGAAGAGAGGTAGGAATGGCAGAGAAACATTACTGACTCAGAGATGGAGTATAGATCTTACACATATTGCAACTGAGATAACAATAAGGACACAACACTACTGCTGTTTATAAAGGGCATAAGTCCCACTAAACACACAAGGATCTACTCGTTTTACAAGTTATACCTTTCCTATGTACAGTATATAACTTCGGATGCTCCAATGAAAACAAGTTCTCAGAAATCATGCATTTGTTTGAGCTGTAATTGGAGGAAGGCAACCTTTCATTTGTTTTTGTTTTTCCTACCCAATAATCTTTAACTTTATTAACTTGGCAATATTTTCGCAAGATCACAGTCAGTCAGTCACGCAAGGCCATCAGGTGTGCTCGGCTCCCAGCTCAAGTACCTCCAAATGATTTCGGATAATGACAGTTGAGCAACACCTTGTAGCCCGCCCCACAACTTACAGATGTCAAAATATACCTTGAAAACAGAGATTTGCTTTCCCTCTGTAACCCCAGGAAGGCATAGAAAACAAAGGTAGTTTACATCCTAAATAAATGAATCATTTTTAGTAATGTTTATCATCATCATTATAGGTATCATCACCATTATATAGCCATTGGGGGTGTATTCCCAAAACTTTTTTATTTGCTCTAGTCTTGGCTTCAAATCCCGAAAAATCACTAGACAGAAACTCTTAAGGGGGGGGGGGTAGGGGGTGTCTTCCCGAAACTTTTTCTATTTGCTCTAATCTTGATTTCAAATCCTGAAAAATCACTAGACAGAAACTCTTAAGAGGGGGGAAATAGGGAAATATAGAAATTACAGGAAAGGGGGAAAGGTGATCAACAGAACTGGGTGACTTCGCCCAACATCTGCCATGCGAAAGAACTAACCTTGCGCCTGAGCTTCCATTTTTTTTCCTCCCCTCCACCAAGGCTCCTCTTCCCCTTGACAGCGCCTTGCTCCGGGGGAGCCTCGCTGCGCGTCTCCGCCAGCAGACGGCCACGCCGCAACTGTTGCTCCGGCGATTTACCCGCCGCTACCGGCTGGCGCTCGCTCTCCGCACTGCCTGCCTGCGCCCGCCTCCTTCGTTCTCCCGAGGCCGGGAAGACGCTTCAATATTATAGCGCCACCTGCCGGCCTCGTTCCCGCTCTGCACTTAAAAGCGTTCTCATCCCTCGGCTTTACCTTTTCCCGCCTTGAGCCTTGTCCTGGGCGGGGTGTTTATAGAGTGCTAATACGGTGGGCAAATGCTCGCGTGTGTGTGGTGAGAGGGAGACAGACTTAAAACTGTAGACGAAGTACGCCTTCGTATGCCTCCGGCGCAGCTTCTCACCGTACAGGTCCCCGCGCTGAAACTGGTTTGCAAATCATCGTACGTTACGGGAGAGGGTTTAAAATTGAGAAGGAAGGGGAAGCTTCCTCTTGCCGGCATATTGTGACATACACACATACACACGCTCTCCTTATCGCACCTTCCACTTCAGTTGAACTGAAGAAAAGCAGATGCTACTCCTTACCACACAGCCCTACCTTGCCATCTTGGCAGTTAAGGCTAGTGGCAGCATTGCCCGCTCCCTCTGCCCTGAGGCGTGAACCAGCAGCCAGTGAATAAATCAGAGCTCTGACCCGGGCACCAAAATTTAGAGGGCTCTGAAATCCCCTCTTGGTGCCTCTGTATTCTATTTTTTTAAAACAAACTTTTCCTTTCTTTTGACGGCTTACCAACGAGGAAGAGGTTGTGGTGTGGCCTCAAATTATTATTTTTAAAGAGAAATTTTGTTTTCAAACCTGGGTACTTAAGGGGAGGAAGCAAGAGGAGTTCTGTTTGTTTTTCTCTCATTTATCAGTAGATTCACACCTAGATTTCAGGGCCCTCTAAATTTTGATGCACTGGATAGAGCCCTGTCTTATTTGCAGCCTGCTGTATACTGTACTATTTTTTCTAGTGTGTTTCTTACCAGTTTATTGCAAGCTCCTACACTATTTGAAAGTCTTCTCTCTCCTCCCTACATAGAACTTGTCGCTTGTGATTTTAACCATTCCCTCACACACAGAAGATGGGGCAGTTTCACATGTCACTCCTACCGTGTTTCCCCGAACATAATAAGACAGGGTCTTATATTAACTTTGCTCCAAAAATGCATTAGGGCTTATTTTCAGGGGATGTTTTGTTTTTTTCCATGTACAACAATCTACATTTATTTAAATAGTCATGTCATCTTCTGGTCCTGCACAAAGGTAGAGAGGATGGGGTTTCACTTGATGGGTTTATTTTTTGGGTAGGGCTTATATTACCAGCATCCTGAAAAATCATACTAGGGCTTATTTTCAGGTTAGGTCTTATTTTTACAAAAACAGGGTATGTCGTCCCGCCTTTAAAACTTTACTGCATAGGGCACTATCTGATCCAGACATGCAGCTAAAATATACCAGACAACTGCAATTTATTCAGTTGAGCATATTAACATTTTGTATGACTTTACTCAATATATGTATAACAGCAAACTTAATGTTATTGTAAATAAACATCCAGTAGTTTCTTTGTAGTATTTATAATCTTCATTTTCCATTTATCAAATGGAAAAGAAATGGCCCAGCACAGAAAACAATTGAACCTGTTGTGTAGTAGTGTAAAATAAATGATGGATGTTACAGCTTGCTCCAAACATAAAATTAGGTGATGGTCTTCTTAGAATGGTATTTCAAAAGCACTTTGTAAGAAAGAAGACAGAAATGCTATTGTCAATTCTAACACCCGCTGCTCCACATCAAGGAGCCTTCCACAGAGATATACAGTACCATTGTCTCTAAGCATTCTGAAATACTGTAAATAATTTTATATTGCATCTTAATTTCTTTGTACAACGTACAGTATGTCCAAGGCACTCTTGATTTCCTCTGTTTGAAAACATTTAACTGAAATCTGTCAATAAACTGTTTTTTGAATCTGAATTTGAAGCTGATGACATTTCGGCGCCAGGTCAAAACCTTCCTGTTTCAAATGGCTTTTAACTGAAATAATATCAGCTGTAGGTCTGATGGCAATTTTTAGAATATATATTTTAATTGCATTTTAATTATTTTGCCCTTTTATTTTGCCTTTTTATTGTATTTTAAATGCTGTAAGCCATCCAGAGACCTTCGGGTAATGTGGGCGGCATATAAGTTAAATAAATAAATAAATAAATAAATAAATTTATGTGGAAAATAATTATTAAGAGCTTTCTTGGATTAGTTGGTCCCACTGTGCTTTTTCATTTAAATCATAGTGTTTAAGTACATTTATGGAATCTAAAATACCTAGAGGTTGCTACAACATTTAAAAATAGTATGTAATATATAAAAACAAGTGACTACAGTATATGGAAAATATATGTATACAATGTATGTAGAACAAAATTAAATATTTCATTATATGCAAATTTAAACAATTCTGTTTAATTAAGTATTCCTTACGTAAAATTAATTTGCAGTGCACATGAATTCCCAAACCCAAACATAGGCACATGTTAATTAATATAAGCAGATACTTCTGGAGTTTATTCTGATACCCTGGGAATTTCAATGTATTGCAGGGTATGAGTGACCCGAGTCTAAATGCCACATAAAAACGTTTGTGGGTACAAAACTAAGTGTACAGTATTCCATGATAATCAAACATCTAAAGCCTGAAAATGTATGTTCATATGAATTGGAATGTTTTGTTTCGAGTAGCTGACCACTTTTCTTTTTCAAAGAAACTCTGAAGGAAAACAGCTGCTTTATTTGCAGGAAGATTTAGAATAAATGGTCATGTGGGACAGTTTTCTACTCAATAATTAAATAGGTCTCAGATAAATGTTTCCCAATGATGATCCATTCTTTATGCCAAGTAGCCTCGAGACAAACAAAGAATATCACTTTGCTGGTGCTTGTAAGCAAATTTTCTGCACAGTGTACTTTCTGCTGATTTATTAACTGCCAAGAAGAAAGAAAAGGAGGTATGTCTTTTTGTTTCGAATGGTTCCACCGTATAGCAAATCTTCTGCCATTTCATAGCAGGCGAAAAAATAGCTTTCCACATTTTCTCCAGAGTAGAAATATGGCTCAGTCAGTGTTGTTAACACACTGTAACACAGAAAAAAACTATGACCAAACTTTTAAAGTGTTGGCAGTTTTAGAATGTGGGCAATGATATACTTTTCAGCCCCACAAATGAACAGCATTAAGATGACAATAATACTGCAAGGCTGTCTTTAATGAACACTCTAGTCCAGTGATGGTGAACCTATGGCACATGTGCCACAGCTGGCACACAGAGCCCTTTTTGCAGGCATGCGAGCCATAAAGTCGCTGGATTGCTACTCCCCCCCCACACACACAACCAAACCTCAGGAGGCGGCTGCAGCCATGGTGCTGACACTTCAACAAGTGGCGGGCTAGGATTCGGAACAGCTGGTGCTGGCAGTGGATCCAGAGTGGGGTCTCGAGGCACCTCTGTGCCCAGCATTCCCCCTTCTGCCACCACTTCTGGTTCCGCCACTGCCACTTCCAGTTCCGCTGCCATTGCAGCCTGCTGCAGCCTGCCACCTGCTGTTTTCCCCCCTGCCCCAGTTTGGGCTCTAGAGCCCAAAAAGGCTTGCTGCCACTGCTCTAGTCTATCCATGTACTACTCTGTTCGTGTTTAAGTGTCAAATTAATAATTATTTATTAATGCTTAAGCTATCACTATTTTTATATCTGTCTGTTTCTTGTTATATTAACACTTCACACTGGATTTATTGTAAAAGAATTGTTCTGCTAATGTTAAACTGAAGGACAGCATAGATACAATTTTAAAAAGCACTTTGACAGAATTAACTAAACACCTTTGCCAATATAGCTTCACAAAATATGAATCTCTGTTCATGTACCAATGTTGCATGCTGAAATCTAACTGTAATACAGTACTCAATAATATAGAACAAAATGATCCATCAAAGTCTAATAAGTATTTATGAAAATGACCCTCCCCATATAAACATAAAATAAAATTAAAACTCAGATCAAACATTATTCAGATCAAAAGTACTTTATTGAAAACACTAATGTGTTCGTATTTCTCAAACCACTGTGTAGCATAGTCTTCTCATCTTTTTACAAAAAGGGGAATTTTATTTTGTCTGACTTCTTCAGTTTTTTATATATAAGCTTATCTATTTTAATAATTTCTACCTCCATAATTGGCAAAAACCTTTTTTTAAACTATCCATTTTGTCTATTTTAACAATATTTACTACTTACTTCAGTGATTCTCACAACAATTTTCTTCACATCAGGAATATCCGATAACAGTGCATTCTCTAGCACATTACTCCTTATTACTTATTGTGATCCAGTAACACATTTTAATGGAAATATGAAAAAGGTTTTTAATTCTTTCATAATCAAGACTGGGGCATTTATTTACTTGCATCATTTACTGAATGGCTTTTATCAGTTTTTTAAAAATGAAAAGAAGTAAACATAAATGACAGTGAATCTACTAAGTCTATTTGTATTTCATGGGATTATTCATAGGTATATGTACATCATACATTATAATAGTTCCTTTACAAATATGTGCAAATAGAATTTAGTATGAGCTACAGTATGTTTATACAATTACTTCTCATGAGTGTTTTAACTCCAAAATCATTTATATAGCAATCTTCTAAGAATGACTATGTTAACAGAAGACCAACAACCATTCTTCAGTTTCCATTAAATAACATAAATATTCTTCAAGGTTTGTATATGTCCAAAACAATATTTGTAAGGAATCAAATCTTGTTTAAGCAAATTAGTATCTTCCAGTACAGTGATGCCTCGCTTGACGATGTTAATTCATTCCAGCGAAATCGCTGTAGAGTGAAAAAGACATCAAGCGAAATAAAAAAAAACCACTGAAAACCGTTCAATGCGTTCCAATGGGCGAAATACCTGCTTGTCCAGCAAAGATCCTCCATACAGCAGCCATTTTCTGGTGCCTGTAATGTGAGGAATCCGTCCCTAACACAGCGGGGAGCCATTTTCTACAGCCGGTGGCCATTTTGAAACCCGACGATTTTGTAAAGCAAAAAATCGGTTCCCGAAACAGGGGACCGATCAACGTTAAGCAAAATTCCCCCATCTAAACATCATTTTGTGATCACAAAAGCGATCACAAAAACTTCGTTAAGCGGATTCGTTGTCAAGCGGGGTAATCATCCAGCAGGGCACCACTGTATTGACTATGGTATCTGTCACTTATTTGAGATTCTTCATTGACTTTGTCATTTTGGAGATTTCATCCCATTTTTCTGATGGACTAGATGAACAAAATGCATGTTTTATTCTTAATGCTGACATTGCTTCATCCAGCTGCAACATCTTAATGGATGCCTGTAGGAAATTTTCTTTCTCAGCAAGCTAAACAAAGAACATTGTGAATGTCAGTTAGTGATGTTGCCTGAATGACAAACTGCTTGTCTCGCCAAGCAAACCATTTAGATAGTGTGATTACGGCTTACTTCTTTCTCATAGTGAAAGAAAGAAAGAAAGAAAGAAAGAAAGAAAGAAAGAAAGAAAGAAAGAAAGAAAGAAAGAAAGAAAGAAAGAAAGAAAGAAAGAAAGAAAGAAAGAAAGAAAGAAAGAAAGAAAGAGCGAGCAGCTATGATCTGGGTTCATATCACAACAACCAAAGAAGTTGGTTTGGTGCTCAGTTTGGAGCTCAATGCTCAGTGTCTCCTTTTTCTTAAGAAAAAACAGGTGAAAAGTCCTAATCCTATTTTTAAATAACATGGTTAATTTAATATGCAAATTTTATAATTACAATGAGAAGGAAATTTTGTTTCTTAGAATAAGTGAACAAACCTTTGAGGGTCAAAGATATACTTGAATGAGGTCAAAAGGTAATAATTATTTAGATTTTTGGTACACATATAATAACTGAAAAAGAATTCTGAAAAAGTAGAAGTTTGGTGTACTGATTGTTTCCACGTTTGGCAACTGTTTTCCATTAGAAGATTTTCTCCCTCTCTCATTTCAAGGCTGCCTTTCTCCTGATAAGGGGACTCAGATACATATCTTACGAGTATTCTTAGATTCATCTTATCAATGAAGTCTCAGGGTGCTTTTGGTCAGTTCTCTTGATCCATCAGCTGTGATCATGGTTAGGAATGGATAAACTAGTCACAGAACTCCCTGGACTGGTAACGTCCCATCTAGGTTACAGTAATGCATTCTAAGGGGCTGGCCTAACAAATGCAGAAGCTACAGCAAGGGCAACATGGTGGAGGGTAAACTGCTATTGAGAACATCAAGCAGAAATCACTGAACAGTGGTTTTAAATTCCATTGGCTGTCAATGTACTGCTAATTTGACTTCAAGGTGTTACTGATTATGAAAACCTTTATTTATGGCACTTATATTTCAGGAAGTTATTTCCTTTTTCACACCTTCCCAAGTTTTCTAATCTGCTTGAGGGGGCTTTCTGCTGTGTCCCAATGTTAGGAGTGGTACATGTGGTGATGCAAGAAAGTGCCTTCTCAACTCAGGTACCCCAACTGTGGAATGTTCACCCTCCAGAGCAGTGGCTTCCATAACCCTAGTGTTCTTAGACTGCAATTCTGAGAAAGAGCAGCCAGTACAGTTAGTGGGGAAGGCTTCTGGAGTTGCAGTCCAAGAACACCTGGGTTACCTACGGAAGGGAATCGCTGCCATAGAGGCCTGACCGGCACCAGCACTAGCTATATTTTGACAACAAATTAAGATGTACCTGTTTATTCAAGCACTTGGGTTTTAATAACTATAGCTTGGTTATAGGGTATTAGTCCAGATCTCATATTGCATTGTGTATTTTTGCTGTTGGTTTTCATTAATGAAAAGCAGCCCTCATATCCATTTATATAATGGGGTTATATAAAGTTAACTGAATGAATGAATGAATGAATGAATGAATGAATGAATGAATGAATGAATGAATGAATGAATGAATGAAATTACATATGCCAGTATTTAGGCTGAGGTACATGCAATGTGAAAAAAATAACATATTCTTCCTATCCTTCTCTCTTTCCTGTGTTACTTTTCACAGTCCAAGTGACTCTATCCACAGTCACTCTATCCACAACAGCTTTCAAAAGGCCCCAAATCTGTTTATATAATACATGGACTTGACAATAATTTCTCCATGTAAGAGCTTTGTTTGAGCTTGGCCTAGAACTGATTTATTGCCACTTCCCTCATTTCATGGTACAGACTGAACTAACATTTACCTGCTTCTGTAGATCAGATGCAAGATCAATCAGCAGAGATTTATCTCTTTTTAACTCCATATTGTCCAGTTCCTCTTTGTCTAATACAGCTCTAATTTCAGTTATTCTGCTGTTCATGGTTGCAATTTTTAAGTCATGAGAGGTACTTCCCTTTTCCAAAATGCTAATCTGTGAGAAAACCACAAACAATAAATAAATAAGGAACAGAAGCAATAAAATCTCTCAAGAGTAAATGTAAAAAACATAATTAAAATGCTCCACAGATGTTTTGGACTGTATAGAACAGTGGAGTTGAAACAAAAGGGTATGTTTGTTATATATTTTCAGTGGAACTGAGATCTGGGAAGTAAGACACAGGGTCAAGATGATGGTGATCAAAATCCACAGAAATCTAGAAATCCCCAGGTGCTCTGGAAAAGATGGATGAGATACTTTTTTTTCTTTTTTGATGCCAAATGTAGGTCTGATTTCTTACAAGGCTATCCGTAGGTTTGCCTTCTTACTAGTTCTATGCACAGCCCTGTCATCTGCGCATCAGTACCACAGCGCTGAAAAGCAAAGGATCCATTAATAGAGTGGCAGAAGCAATATGGCCTCAGTGATCCTCTAAAGTGTGTGATATTTGATCAGACTTGGAAATTTTAGTACAGTTCCAGATCTTTCCAAACTCTCACTGAAGCTGGACTGTTTGTTCCTTACCAATGAACCAATAATTTTTTTCCAATTATTTTCAGGAGAATAAGAAAATGTGAGGAAAATCTGCAGTCATACAACCTTATCTTGAAGGTCTCGGAAGGTACTCTCTTCCTGCTCCAGGAGTTCTTGGTACCTCTGAATCTCTTCCTTCAGATGATTTTCATGATCTTTTACTGCAAGGAACTGCATGATACCAGCAGAAAGGGCTGTATAGCTCTCCTCCTTGAGTACTCTCTCCTGTAATCAGTTATAAAACAAGGATGTGTAAAAAGTGGGATATTACAGTTCACTCATATAGCTCTTGAAAGCACACTACCAATCAATGAAATGGTGACAAGAGCAAAAATAGTTTAAAAGCAATGGGCTGAAATAACTTAGTCATGGAACTGGCATTTGTTTATAATATATTTTTCACTTCAGGTTCTATGTCAGTGTCTGAGGGTTCCTTATTTTTGGTGGGAAATGACAAGAGAGGAGATTCTTTGAACAAATCTTTATTAACAAAACTACTGGGTCTCTCATAACTTCAACAGGATCAGTAGGTTCAACATTAAGAGGCAAGTCAGTCCAAAACAAGGGTACAGTATTCTCATAATTGTCTCTTTTCACCGGAAAGATTGGCCAAAGCGTTCTAGATCCATAGGCTTCCTCAGACAGTCACTCCTTCTCACACAGATTGCCCCACAGCAGGGATGGCGTGCTCATTCTCCCTCGGGTGGTTTCTCGTGGGGTTGGACCAGTCTTCCAGAGATCCTGTCCTTGCGGGTATACTAAAACTGTTCATTCTTCTGGCCCCAATCCTTCAATAATTGGTTTCTCCTCTCTGACCTTTTTATTTGTCTCCTTGAAGTCTCTACTCTTCAAACATATCCCTTTCTGTGAGATTTGGAACACTCTCAGTTCTCCCCCCTCTTCTATCCATTCCTCTTCCCAGACCACCACTTTCCTCATTCCTACCCATTCCTTTCCCTCTTCCAACCTTAAGAAAACATTTACCTCCTTTCTTTCTCTCTCCTGACTCCTCCCCCTCTCCTCCTGCCTTTAACCCTTTCATCTTCATTATAACTTTCACAATTTCCCCTTCTCCAACTTCTCTATCTTTCATAGACACTTGAGGGGACAGCTCACTCTTTTGTTCTTTTACATCTTCTTGTTCACAATTTATTGTACCTTATCCAAAGTCCTCTTGATGTAAAGCAGGATATAAATATTCTGTATGAATATGTTGTCTGATTTGTCAATACTAAATGACAGTGAAAGCCTTGCAAAAGCATGTATACAGAACTAAAGTCAAAATTTGGGAGGCACCTGCATCCTAACTGACTAAATAAAATTGCTTGAGATAGACATCAGAAACAATGTAGAATTAAAGGAATCCATATTAGTGGGACATGTGGATTCTTTGAACAGTGTAGTCCATAGTGACAGACAGCCATTTGCTATGAAAGGTTTGGAATCTGCTCAAACTATCCCATAAATCAGTTTGGCTTACATTTTCTTTTCTTGATTCTTGGTACTTGAATTGTGCTGACTGTATGACATTATCCAATACTCACGGGATGTTTTCTTTCTTTGCCTCACAGTATTATTTAAACACAGACTGAATGTGCATAACTTATTTAAAAGTGATCACATTTCCACCCCTTGAGAGAAAGAGGAGGAATGAATATTCAGATGGCCTATTTCTATCAGTGGCCTTCAGAAGTTTACTGATTCCTTATCATATTTTTCTGGATGATGAAAAATTAATTGTAGAAAATGAAACTATTATGAAACCTTTTTTAAAAAAAACCCTTCCCACAGTTAAAAAAATAGTTCTATTATGTTTCCCAAGAGGGAGCCATGTTAATCTGTTTCAGCAAATGTAACAAAAAATAAAATCAAAGTTACAGCACATTCAAGACTAACAGATTTACTTCATTTTGATCTTTCATGAATTGCAGTCTACTTCTTCACACAGATTGCAACCCATGAAAGCTCACATTGAAATAAACCTGTCAGTCATTAAGATACCATAATACCTTTCTCATGCACAATTGCACACAAATCTTAAAACTGGTTGGCAAATTGCTCCTTTCCTTACTATCTCTCTTTGCTTGTTAAGTTCCAAGAGCCTGGATTGCATCATGGCATTCTCCTTGGTCAAAGTTGCATAATCATCCACCATTTTGCTTCTTAACAGCCGATCCTGTTCTGCTAATAGCTCTCTCTCACGTACTTGTTGATGAAGAATAGATATCTCATTCCTAATTGAAAAAAATGTGCATGTTTAACCAAACAGAATAACATTAAATGAATTTCTACAGCAGTTTGCAACAATGCAAGTTATACAATCTATAATAATAGAGAATTTATCTAATTGTATGTCTCTGATTTAATGCAGGAATTGTGAAAGCTAGCTATCCGAAAGTTGGAGACCCTAGAAGTGTCTGCATTTGTTACAAACAGTAACAAATGGAGGATATACAATGGAGCTCGCAAAGGCACAATGCTCTCTTCCCCCAAAACACAGGCTACTTCTGAACCATAACACCAAAGTATTGCTATTATTATGCTTGTTTTTCAGCATTCCTGGTACCTGGAGATGGGTTAAGCTTAAACATTAAGAGAAGTCATAAAAATCTGAGGGTAATATGACATGTTTGCAAAATCAGTTTTTAAAAAAATTCACGAAGCACATTAACAGCCATCTGCAATTGTTTTAAATTGGTAACCAAAGACTTTGGAAACAATCCAATTGCTGAAATTAGAATGGGGAAGAAGATGATCTAATTTTGCTTATATATTGTTTAAATTTCTTGCCTTAATGTTTGATACTTTGCAATTTTTGTACTTTCTGTACTTTTGAGGTTGCTTGTTGATGGAATTCTGGTTCTATTGGGTATGATTTTCTTTGTTGCTTATCCAGAAGTAAAGTATCCAGCACATGACAATCAACTGTTTTTTTTCTCAGTGATATCTTGCTTCTCCCAAAATATCACTGAGGTTTTATTTTTTAAAACTACAGGAGGCTGGTTTTATAATATGGAGGAAAAGATATAAGTAATTCATAGGACTTGGCCAACTACTGAAAAATGAATCTTTGCAATTTAGTTATGCTTGTTGATGCTAGTTTGGAGCATTTAGCTGTAATATGAATTGCTTATTTAAATTCATGACAGGCCCTACATATATCACTTACACCTGTTTCATGATTGTCCACTGACAGTGCCTAGCACAAATAATGTAGTCTTGGATTGTGTGTATTAATCCCTCAGTTTTAGCTTGACAATGGCCTAATTCAAGCCACTGTTTGATTACTGCTTATTGACATTATCATCCAAGAGGTAACTGGGGTGCTGTCTATGTAATGTTTTCTCAAGCCATGCATCTTTGCACTCTGGGATTTCCATTAATGTAGGTTCATTCTCACTTGCAAGTTGTACTGTTAGTCCTTTCTCATTTTCTACCATTCTCTGATGAAGTGGAAGTACTTCTGAAGTTTGACTAATTGACCCATACAGAGATTCTTGAGAACAACAAGCCTGTGACTTATTTTAGCATTGTAAGCTGCAGAATGTACAGAGGATTTGATTCACTAAATCCTCATTGATTTAATGGGCTTACTCTAGTGCAATGTACTACGCTAACAGAATTTTGGCCCATATCTATATACAACTTAACTTTTATAACTCATTTTAACTTATCTATAATATAATAGATATTTATTTCACATATTTATTATATAATCATGTTAACTATGATATTATGGAATAAAGTAAATTATTTTTTACTAAATAGACTCTATTTTAATATGCCAAACATAATAATGTTATGCTAAACCAGGTTATCAGGTTATATTCAGGTTCCTAAAGTAACAAAGTATTTTTCAATCTGTAAAAGATTGTACTGCTTGTATTGTATTTTTTTTTCAATGATTCTGGAAATTTCCCTTTATACCTTAAAAAAGTGAAGAAAATATTTTTTCTCATGCCTTCAACATTTCCAGAAAATTTACATTGCCATGTCATCTGTATGAGAGATCAGTGGATCCCTCTAGCTCTGTTCTTCACGCGTTTCATAACTAGGCTTAGAGCGATTTCCATGATACTTGTGTACCATAAATTACTACCTAGGACTTTCCTCTTAATTTTTGAATACATCTGCAGGGTTGAACACAATACTAACTTAACTAGTCTGCACCATCTCTCAGATTCATTAGTTATTACCGTAGTTCATGAGTAATGTGTTCTTGCATTGCTGCTGTTTTCCTGAAGATTTTATTTTCTATTTCATGCACAGCAGACTGCACTTTCAAGAACTCCCTTCTCTTTTCAGAAAGCTGAAACTTCACTTCCTTCTGCAGTTCCACCTGTTGCTTCACCTTGATTTAATTGCAACATGTAAGAAGAGATCAACATTTTGAAGACAAAAGAAAATCATTTCACTTTTATTTCCAAATACAGTCAATTTAAACAGATAGTTCATCACTTTTAAAGCATGTAGGTGTGTGTTATATGCAGTCAAGTCAGAATAAGACTTTCAAGGTGATAAACACATTTAAGGGGTTATTTTACCACTTCCATCCCAGTGAGATTCCATGGCATTTGTTGAACTGAGTAGCAATCCTGATGCTTTGTCTCTCCCTTGTTTCATTTTGCTTGGTTTACTTGCTTAAAAGCATGTTTGCCAAAATATTATTTGACTCATTAATAAACTTTTTTAAAAAAAATTTATTTTTTATCAAGAGGGGTGACAGAAAGGAAAAGGGGAGTTGAGATTAAAGAGGAAAAAGAGAAACAATCACATACTAACATCCATTCTATACCTATTGCCATATCAAAATTCCATGTTTCTCTATTTACTCTTTTTTGCCTTCTGGGTTTAAGTTCTCATTTCAAATATCAGTATGCTATTCATACGTTGCCTGTTGATTTAGTCCACTTATAAAATAAGTCCCATCTTTCTCATTAATAAACTTCTGGTGTGAGATATATTGGTGCTTTCCTCTCCTCACAGTTTTGTTGGTTAGACTGGCAGGGACTCTTCTATAGTGTGCTGGAAGAGTACTGTGGCTGCAAATACTGTTATGCTTTAGGGACTGGTTGGTTTAGATCAGAGGTCCCCAACCCCTGGCCCCTAGCCTGGTGCCGGCCTGTGGCCTGAGCCAGACTGGGCCGCGGAGACCTCCGCACACACTCAACCCTGTACAGCCAGTTTGTGCCTGTACGCACCTGCATGAGCGCTGCACCGCCCTTTGCGCATGCACATGAGCAAGTGCGCTCCCGCACGAGCACTGAGCCACCCTTTGCATATGCATTCACCAATGCGAGAGAGCTCCCTCCTTCACACATGCGCATGAGTGCAGGGGGGTGCCCTGCCTTCCCCAGCCAGTCCGCGGGGCTATAAAGGTTGGAGACGCTGATTTAGATGACTCCAAAATCCCTTTGTACTCTTGTTTTTATTAGGTTGTGTAGATGTACATTAGTATTAGTGCATGAAGGTTCCTGCTTTATGCCTTATGGCTTCATGTAACACTAATATTCTTTTAAAGAAATGAACAATATAAAAATTTGCAATTACTAGTAATAAAGCGATCAACATACCTTTCCTTTCAACTCAATAATAGCCTGTTGTCTATTACTCAAGCACATTTGTTGCTGTTCCAGTTCTTGCTTAGCTTGTAATATCTCCATTTCTTTTACAGAGACTTCTCTGTCCTTTTGTTCCTTTCTTCTCTTCAGTTCAACTATTTTTTCTACCAAAGTTTGTTTCTCTTTTGAATAAGTTTCTAAAGGAGTTTTTAAAAAAGCAAAATCAAATTATATCCATATTTTTGCAGCACAAGTGGGCACTTATTTTCAAAGTCTAGAATTGAAAGTTCAAATAAAACTAGTACATTTAAACTCACACAAACTGAAATTAATCCAGAGCCATATATATATGAATGTCTGCTGTTCTCTTTTATACATATGAGCAAAGTTGGCCTTGGGGGAAGTCAGAATTTAAAAAATTAGTTTTATGTTAATGTTTTCAAGCATCATCCAATTGATCTACTCATGGCAAAATAGAATTTGTGACTGTTTATGTGGTCTTGAAGCAAGCCTCAAAAATATCTCTTCCATTCATAGCAAACAGAAATACAGTGGTGCCTTGCTTAACGATGTTAATTGGTAAAAAAAAAAACACATCGCTATGGGAAAACATCGCTAAGCGAAACACCAATTCCCATAGGAATGCATTGAAAACTGGATAATCCGTTCCAATGGGAACGGATTACCGTCCTTAAGCGAAAATCGCCAAAGGAAACATTGCTAAGCGAAACAATGTTTCCCCCTCTGGAATGCATTGAAGCCTATTTAATGCATTTCAATGGTTTTGCGATGTCCGTTTTTGCTATTTTTAAAGTGTCTTAAAATTTTCAAAAACTGTTTTAAATGCTTGGAATCGTTAGTGCACCTTGTAAAACCTCTGCAAACTTAATTTGGCTTTGTTCTGACTCTTCGTTAATTTTTGGTGAATTTTCCCCCCCATTGCAATGCATTGAATGTGGAATGCATCAGATGTGGAAGGAAAGTCCACCACTGTAGTTGTTGGGCAAGTTCTGGAGAGACAAGTAGTTGTTTCCTCTGGCTGTCGTGAATGGGGTTGAAGAGAGACAGAAGCCAAACTTGTAAGGACCGCATTTTTAACCGTGCATGAGACAAGGCGGGTGTTGTGGATGCCATGAGTCCCAGAAGATGTTGTGCATGCTGTGCAGAGACAGTTCTGCCTGGTTGAAACTTGCGCACAGCGATCCTTATTTTTTGAATGTGCTCTGAAGGAAGAAACACTCTGCCTAGGGTGGAATCCAGGCTGGTTCCTATGTAGTCCATCATTTGGGATGGTTCGAGAATTGATTTCTTTGTATTGATTGTGAGACCAAGATTCTTTAGAGTTTGAAGGATGAATCTGGTGTTTTTGATGGCTTGACATCTGGATGGGGAAACTACTAGCCAGTCATCTATGTATGGGTAAACTTGAATTCCCTGAAGGCGTAAGTATGCTGCCACTGGTGCCATGCATTTTGTAAATGTCCTTGGTGCCATCGACAGTCCGAAGGGGAGAGGCAGGTATTGATAAACAGTTCTCTGAAATACAAACCAGAGGTATTTTCTGTGGTTTTGATGGGTTGTTATGTGGAAGTAGGTGTCTTTGAGATCTACCACCACAAACCAGTCCTTTTTCCTTTACAGGTGAATGATGGAGTCTAAGGTGACAATTCTGAAGCGTTTTGCGTGAAGGTAAGTGTTCAGCATCCTTAGGTCCAGGATTGGTCTGATTCCTCCGTCCTTCTTTGGGACAGCGAAGTAACGGGAGTATAACCCATTTTTTACATCATTTTGAGGGACTCTTTGAATGGCATGCTTCTGTAGGAGAGTCTGAACTTCTTCCTCTAGAACAGGGGCAGAGGGTGTGAGTTTGACCTGTCCTAGAGGAAGATATTCTGTAAACTCTAGTTGGTAACTGAAGCGAAAGATGTTTAAGACCCAGGAGTCTGTGGTAATGTTTGTCCAGTTCTGTAGGAAAGGATGGAGCCAGGTTGGTTGATCTTGTCCAAACAGTGTTGTTGGGGAGTCAAAGATAATGTTTCGATTTTTCACAGGTGGTTTGTAGGATTGCCGGCGTTGTGATGGCTGAGGACGGAAGGCAGATGAAGAAGATGCGGCTTGAGAGGATCTGGGTTGACCCTGAAATTTAAAAGGATGGAAAGATTGTGAAGATTGTGACTATTGTGAAGACTGGAAGTACTGGGAGTATGGTTTTACGCCATTGGTATTTGTTGAATCTAGGCTGTTGCTGAACAGAATAAGACTTGGCTGTTTTCTTCATTTTATGTAGTTCCTCCAGGTTACCATCAGTTTTTTCATTAAAGAGGCCATGGGCATCAAAGGGAAGAATCTCTACATGAGTCTTAACATCGTCCATAATTGTAATAGCCCTAAGCCAGGCATGTCATCTTAGTGCAGTGGTCAGGGAACAGGGATAAATTACCCCAAATAGGGTAAAAATGAAAATCCTGGGGGTAATGAGGATGTGACCCTAACCCCCTTCCCTCCTCCTTCTCTTCTGCCCAGAGGGGGGTCCTCAGCAGCCCAATCGCCCCCTTACCACCCCCTTTTCCAGCCTGGCTGCAACCAAACCATGGCGGATGGTGGCTGGCAATGGGCCCCAGCCGGTGGCATATGGCAGCCGAGGTGGCGGCAGGGCTGGCCATGGTGGAGGTCAAGGCTGGGGCGTGTGGCTGGAGCACCCCAGCCAGGAGGAGCCTCTCCTTCCAGTGCTTGGAGAGGTGGATTGTGGCAGAGGAGGGAGGGTGCGGCCATGACGGCGGCCCAGGCCAGGCTCAGCCTCCTGGTACTGGGCCGCTGCCCCATGCCTCATCCCCAGAGGAGCCTGTCGGGCAGCAGCAGGGCTCAACCGGCCTTGCAACTTCCTTCAGCGGTGCCTCTGCGCTGGCCAGCTGGGCCTGGAGGAGCCTCTTGCCCTTCAGGTGGCAGCTGTCACAGTGCTTCGATGACAAGGCCCTCGGCCACCCCGGCGAGCAGCCGTCAGAGCCAGTGCCAGAACAAGAGGTGGCACTGGGTGTCCCCGGAGGGCGAGCCACCTGCTGCTCTTCGACGGCTGCCCAGGAGCTGCCCCTGCGGGGCCAAGGACTGAGTTTGGCCCTGCCAGGCAGTGGTGGCGGCCTGGGCAATGAGGCTTCGGTGGTGGTGCTTGACTGGCCGTGTGTGATCAAGATCCTTCCTTTCAAATCAAGAGGGTAATGTTGGCATATATAAATTTTTTAGGGGGTAAAAAGTTAAAAAGTTCCCTGACCCCTGTCTTAGTGTAACAGCAGACATCAAAACTTTGGCAGCAGCATCTGCTGCATGTCGAGATGCTAGTCTTTGATGTTTAGAGACTGTAAGGGCTTCCTCATAAGTATTGAGAAAACCCTGTCATGTATCAACTGGAGTTTAAGGGCTGGGTGAACTCGCAGCCATAGTTGTTTCTGGTAGGCTCCCATAGCCGTTAGGTAGTTGGTAATTTTGAGGAGGAATGCAATTAAGGAATACATCTTCCTGCCATCAGGTGGCAGCTGTCACAGTGCTTCGATGACAAGGCCCACGGCCACCCCGGCGAGCAGCCGTCAGAGCCAGTGCCAGAACAAGAGGTGGCACTGGGTGTCCCCGGAGGGCGAGCCACCTGCTGCTCTTCGACGGCTGCCCAGGAGCTGCCCCTGCGGGGCCAAGGACTGAGTTTGGCCCTGCCAGGCAGTGGTGGCGGCCTGGGCAATGAGGCTTCGGTGGTGGTGCTTGACTGGCCGTGTGTGATCAAGATCCTTCCTTTCAAATCAAGAGGGTAATGTTGGCGTATATAAATTTTTTAGGGGGTAAAAAGTTAAAAAGTTCCCTGACCCCTGTCTTAGTGTAACAGCAGACATCAAAACTTTGGCAGCAGCATCTGCTGCATGTCGAGATGCTAGTCTTTGATGTTTAGAGACTGTAAGGGCTTCCTCATAAGTATTGAGAAAACCCTGTCATGTATCAACTGGAGTTTAAGGGCTGGGTGAACTCGCAGCCATAGTTGTTTCTGGTAGGCTCCCATAGCCGTTAGGTAGTTGGTAATTCTGAGGAGGAATGCAATTAAGGAATACATCTTCCTGCCAAGAACTTCCAGTTTTCTTCCTTCTCTGTTGGTAGGTGTAACATGAGCCTTAGTGGAGGGTCTAGAAGAACTTGTTTCTACTATCAATGAATTAGGGATGAGGTGTTTTAAAAAGAAATTGGTACCATCTCCATGGACAAGATATAAATCTTCTGTTCTTCTGGACATGGGTGCAGATGTGGATGGTTGATTCCAGGCATCTCTTATAAAATCCATAAGGGCAGGAATAAACGCCAGGCTCAGTGGTGGGGTTCGTTCTTGATTTATATCACCGAAGATAAGGTCCTCTGACGGCGGGTTGGACTGCTCAGTGTGCATCTTAAGTGTCTTGGCCATTCTGGACACCATCTGCACATAAGAAGAAAAGTCCTCAGATGGAGATGAGGGATGGGGGTCAGCTGCATCTGACTCCATTATTTCTCCTTCTGGTAGCTCATCAGCAGATGGCACATGTCGATCATCATTGTCAGCGGCCGAAGAATCAGCAGAGAAAGCTTCCTCCCTTTCTGATGTCGAAGGTGAGCGCTGTCTCTTGCGGTGTTTATCGATGTTGAGAGCTGCAGTTTTAAGATGTCGAGAAGTAAGCACAACTGTTGATTCTGAGAAGGGCGGTACCGGGTCATGTTGAGTTTTGGTCATTTTAGAATTGTGTTTAGACTTCTTTGTCTTATCAACATTGATAGTCTTTCGACATTGATGGCGGGGAGGAGACGTTGAAGAAGAAGGCAAGGACATTGAGAAATACGAACGTCTCAATCTCATTCTCTGTCTGTGATGGTCAGTAGATGTTGAGGAAGAGTCTGTGTCAGAATAGTCTTGTCGACGTCGATGTTTTTTTCGCTCAGTCTCGGTATCATTAGAATCATAGTATTTCTTATGTCGATGACGAGACTGTCGATGGAAGATATATGTTTGGTCTTCTTTAGTCGTATACGAGGTAATGATACCGGTCTCAATGCGATCAATGCCAACGAAGGAGCCAAAGACGCCCACCCGGTAGATACAGGGCTATTCAGGCCAGAGGCCAAACTCGCCATAGCATGTGCGAGTTGGCTCGGGGTCAGCGATATTGTGCCGACCGGAACAATAGGCTCTGCTTGTCTAGGAGGTAGCGAGGTAGCTGCCTCAGACAGTGACTCTCGATCTCGAGAGGAGTCCTCAAGAATTGGTGAAGGCACCGATGCCGAAACAGGAGGTAGTTGTTTGAGAGAGTCCTTCGATTTAGCCGAAGTATTTGGCTTGGCTTGTTTACTAGCCTTGGCAGAGGTGGTAGAAGGTGCCTTCGACTTTGAGGCAGATGACTTCTTCAAGCCTGAAGATTTTTTAGCAGGCTTATCAGTGGTCATAGTAGAGGGCAACTGAGGAGAAACGGTACGAGCCTCAGAGCGTGGAGTGGCAGAGGGTGAAGGGATTTCCATTTCAGATGGTTTAGATGAAGACAGGGTCTTATCCCACAAGTATAGTTTTATTCTTTGTTGACCCACCTTGATCGCAGCTTTTGTAAATTTTTTAGTGTTTGCAGTTGTTTGGCTGATGGGATTCAACAAGGCGAAAAAGACAATAATCGTGACCATCTTGAAAGGGCAATTTATGGGAACAGACGATACAGCGACTGAAGGGACCAGATCAGGACATAAGCGGGTAGGTAATAGAACAGTCTTACTGTTTGTGGAATGGTGAAGATGAGTCACACGGTGAGATAAAGAGCAGGAAATTGGTCTGGAAGCAATTAATCCAAAATGGAGGCAATAGAGTAGTCGAAAGGCAAACCTAGGTCAGGGCAACAGAGATATTAGAGGAGTCAAAAACAGTCCATGGTCGAAAAAATACTGAAAAAATTCAAGAAACTAGCAAAGCTCAAGCGAGAGGTTCCTAGCTACACAGCGGTAAAATGGAACTGGGGGCTGAGGTGGGTGGAGCATGCGCTATAGGGGCAACTTAAACTTTGTTACTTTTCTCTTAGAGCTCTGGAATATTCCGAGAGGTCCAGTGCAGGTGCTGATTTAACCCTTTTGTGTGCATTCACAGAGGCCACGATGAAGAACACAGTGAATGCACCACAGATTGGATCCATGATAGCTGGTCATGCTCTAGGTTCCACTGAAATTCATGTGAATTATATTATTCCTGACTACCTTGTTGCATGGATTCCAGTGGGTCTAAAGCACAACTAAATTCATCTGGGTTTTAGTAGATGTGGATGATTTTAGAACACAATGTAAATCCATCAATTTAAAAATGTAAAATAGAGAGAAATATACAGATAATTCAGCAGAGATTATGAAGAGAGGTAAAAATAATGATGGTATTTAAATTGGAATCAACTGATGGTGAATACAAGGTTTGACACTACAGTACATGTTTACTGACTTTTTACAATACTGCTAATGAAGCCAACAACAGAAGACTACCTTTTGAAACAGAAATTGCAAACAGTTTCATAATGAATACATAATGAACATAATAGTAATACTATAATTAAACAATAAACCACATCAGCATGCATCTCCAAAAGAGCGATGGAAGGCTCTGCAGTACTATTGCCCAGTGATGTGATGCAGGGCCTCTCTACAATTCTTCACACTATTTTAAAAGAACAATTCTCTCATGTTCCCAACCTTTCCAGATTCATGCATGCTGAGCACTACAAAGAAAGCACTTATAATAACAGTAAATTAAAAGAAAAGAAAACACCAGAGAGCCATTTTGGCTGTTCTATGCAAGATCTATCACCAAAGAAGGACATTTTCTGCCACCCTGGAGCGACTGCACAGAAAACTCCAGAAATTTCTCTATCTGGCCGAAATTGTTTTGCTTGTTTTGCAATTAAAATATTTATAACTTTGATGTAGAAGGACAGTGGTTTCTTTGTACCTTTGATAATGCTGCCAAAGAATTTGAAGTATGCAGATCTTGTCCCAGTATGCAGTGGGTGATTCTGCCAGTCACTCAGTTCTACCCTGCTATTGGGGCATTATTGTGCATTGATCACTTCCTGCCCCTCCTCTCTCTTGTGTGCCTTCTTCCTTGAAGAAGGGCCCTCTCCATGATGGAGATTGCCTGAGTACATGCTATCTGATTGCTCTCTCTCCATCCACACTTGCATCCATGCCATCCAACTTTACGGGGTGGTTTACCCAGTTTAGAAACGGTCTTCAAAGCTAAAGAAACTTACTTGGAATTTGTAAGACAAATTCCATTGGTTTTCACTCAAATGCTATATTTTGACCTTTGCTACTGAAATAAAGTCTGTAGTTAATAAACCTTTTCTAAAGTTATTACAAGTTAACTCATGTTTTTTGACTCTTAATTTAGCTCACTGGTACTTAACCTTGGGTTACTCAGGAGTTTTGGACTGCAACTCCCAGAAGCCTTCACCACCAACTGTGCTGGCTGGGGTTTCTGGGAGTTGCAGTTCAAAAACATCCCAGTAACAAAGGTTAAGAACCACTGATTTAGCTCATTGAAGATAATTGGTCAGAACATACAATGATCTCTATAACAAAAGAAACGTAAGGATAGATGCAAATGCTGTCTTTGGCTATGCACAGAAGTGAAGCTGCCATATTGCCTTCTTCTCAGTCGGCTGTGCAAGAGGTCATATAATATATCCATGACTCTCTGACAAAATCCTTCCCTCCACATTTAATGATAGGTCTCCCTGGCCTAAAACAACTTGCCAAATTTTTGGGCTTTCATACCTTTGTTGTTGTTGTTTAGTCATTAAGTCGTGCCTGACTCTTTGTGACCCCATGGACCAGAGCACACCAGGCCCTTCTGTCTTCCACTGCCTCCCGGAGTTTGGTCAAATTCATGTTGGTTGCTTCGATGACACTGTCCATCAAAGCTCACAGCTTACCCCCCCCCATAAATCATAGCTTACCCCCCATAAATCACTTTCATCTGCTGCATTTTGGGGGGGCAGGCAGCAACCAAGACATAGTACATGTCAAGTAATGCAGGAAAATTATCTTTGACTGCTTGTACTAAGAAATAGCAGAAGAAATGGACAGAATAAAATTTAGGCAGTGTCAATCAAGAGTCAGTTAGGGATCCAATATAAGATAGGGACTGACAGGGCTGACATAACTGACAGAAAATGCTTTCTGTGTAAGCTTAACCAAACTAAATACTGTAGCTTATGTACATGCTCCTTCACAGCATTCTTTCATGTCAAAGGAACTTATGTCTACCAACATAACTTCTCAAGAGGGACAAAGTTCTAGCAAATACAATTTTACTTCATTTTCATGTTTGCGGAAGCTACTTAAGAAAAAGATCACAAAACTAGAGAAATGGATTTTCACTCATTCCCAACTACCTGTACTTGGATTATGATTTTTGAATTTTTTTTTTTTTGATTGGAACTTCTCAAACAAAGTTCTAGCAAATACAATTTTACTTCATTTTCATGTTTGCGGAAGCTACTTAAGAAAAAGATCACAAAACTAGAGAAATGGATTTTCACTCATTCCCAACTACCTGACCTGTGATTATGATTTTTAAATTTTTTTTTTTTGATTGGAAGAGACTAAGAGACATTATAGGATGCTGGAATAATCTGTTTTTTCTCTCTCCCTAATCTCCCTACTTTTTTCTCTCCTGCCCATTGCCCCTTTTTTCCTTTCCCCCCCATTCCCCTCCTTTTTTTCTTCTTCTTTCTCTTCTCCTCCTCTTTCCTTCTTCTTTTTTTTTCTTTTTTCTTTTTTCTTTTTGGTAAGGGGAAAACTCTGTTTTTTTGTTTGTTTGCTTGTTTGTTTAATCTCTCTCCCTTTTTTATTTTCTTTTTTTTTTAATAAACAAAGAACTTGTGTGTTTGTTTTGGGGGGGGTTCTTCCCTTTTTAATTATAAGCATGTGTTTTACAAGTATGTGCACACATATATGGCTCTAAAAAAAAGAAAGAAAGGGGGGAAGTTTTGATTATTGTTATTGGTTTGTTTTGTTATTGTTTTGGATTATTCGACTAAGATGGGATTGAACAAATAAATAATAAATAAATAAATGAGAAGAAAAGAAGAAGAAGAAAAGATGTTTAAAGTTAAAAGGGAAGGCATTTGGATATATATATGTGAATAAATATATGATGTGGGGTGGAAAGGAGGTGGAGGTTCAGCTGGGGTCTGGACTGGTGGGGGTGGCATCTCCCCCCTCCCAGAGATCACGTCAAACATTAGTGTGACACAGGGAAACGGGAGGGAGGAAAAATGTTTATATGTAGGGAAGAAGGGTAGGGATAGGGAATTAGAAGTAGGTGAATTTAATTTTTCTAATTGTTTTTGTTCATGGTTTGGGAATTACACAAAGGGACCAACTAAGAAGCAAAAGATTGAACAGATATGGGGAAAAACATAAGAGTAGCGACTTTAAATGTGAAAGGCCTAGGAGCTGTATTAAAGAGAAGGAAAATAGAA